TTTGGTTGGTTGGCTTACAGACCCTCTGTAAGGACTTTCAGTAGGAGTCTCTTGCTGCAGCGTTCCTCTCCCAAAAGCAGAGGGTTTTCTCTGATGCTGTTGTAGTTGCACCTCAAAGGGAGCCTGACGTGAGCATGGATAGTGTGTGTTAGCAAAATAAATCATTGGTGCTTATATAGAGGATTGCGAAGGTCGGACAATGCGGCCTTTTGTGTGTGTTAGCAGGCTAGCGCTGTAGCTGTGAAAGCAGTAAAGCCTTTGGCTCATCCCCGAGGGGAAAATACTACATTCCTGAAATGGGCACGTGCAGTGTTTGTGCTGGTGTCCTCAGCTGTTTTGGACAAACACAGAAGCATCTGGGCTGACACGTTGTTTAAGCATGGAACTGTTACTGAATATCGCTTGAGAAATTTAGAGAATGTTACTGTGGTGTTGGGACACGTATGGGAACGTTGGGCTGAGTCCTGAAGTTAATCCCCTGTTGGGGTTTATGCCATGGAATTGCCTAGACTGCTAGCAAAGGTCCATTTTAAGCATATTTGGGATTCAGCCCCGACTTCCGCTGTTAGAAGGCAGTTTCAGAACTGTTGGGTAGTGAAGCTTACTATAATGTCTGTGCCAATGTATTTACAATTCTGTGCATCTGTCACGTCAGTATTGTTCTTCAGCATAAGTAGCTGAAGTGTTCCAGCTGAGTTTATTTTTCTAGTTAAGCTTAGAGAGACTTAAACCTCTAAGGCTCTTAAATCTCTTGGTCTTCATTTGCTAGACAAAATGAAATGTTAGTCTCCTCTCAAAAGCTAAGTTCTCTGATTCTGATCATCCTCCTTGCATTGGCTTGCAAGTTTATTCTGGTTTGAATTAATTTTCCTTGAATAGGCTTGCCCAGAAGCAATCAGATGTTCCAGATAACGGCTCATGGCTAAGGCACCAGGTATTTCAATGTAGATAGTTCCCTCTCTCCCGCGAAAATAACGCGATCCTTTAAATTTAAAGGATCACGCTTGGCTCCTTAGTGGCTCTATTGTATTTCTGATTCAGAGCCATTCTGTGATAAATGTGGGACTTTCTCTCTTCGGTCGCTTTTAGTTCATAGGAGCTCCCAACAGACCCTCTCATCACTACTCCCACCAGTCCAGGCTCACCGTTTGACGCTTCGTACTGTTGAATTTCTCAGTACTTACATTACAGTGGTCCTCCCAGTCCTCCAGCTCTTCTTGTATCTGCACTCCCATTCTTCCTGTAAACAAATCTTTGTCGCTGACTGATTCCATCTGCAAAGTTAACAAAAATGTTTTTACTAAAAAGATTAGTTCCAAGATCGATGCCTGAAGTCTGTTTGTAATTTTCTAAAAGCCCTTTTACTTCGTCCCTTACCTGATTTAAATTTTTCTATTATTTCTCCATTCAACTGAACCAATAATTTCCTTGTTGTCGTTTATCTGGTAGATGTAACCTATTTGGACTCTGTTGATTTACACCCGTTTATTTTGTAAACACGTGAACAGAGCACACATGGGTCTGAGCTAAACTACTGAATTTTCTGCATTTTCTCTAATCGCTGGATCTGTTTAGAGGATTATCCTCTTCATATATTCACATTTTATTTCACATTCTCTATATAAACCGTATGATCCATAGTAGCCTTCCTTTGCACAGTAAATGAAAATTTCTTTGGTAAATAGGTCTATATATCTAAGTTCATTGATAATGAATATGACCTGAGATTTCTGCTAGGAAAAAAACACTTTTTAAGAACAGTCCGGGTCACATGGGATATCCAAAATTGTAATAAAATTGGGAGGAGGAAGTACAGTAGCTCTCGGACTAAAAAGAATTTAAATTAAAAGCCATATATTGAACAAAAGGTAATGAGTGATCTGTATTTAGTGTACATTATGTGATGTGCAAGACTAAATGAGTAACTGAAAAGTCCTGGTTCTGCAGACAGTATCTACAGAGAGATCCTCAGACACCAATGGCGATGAAGTGTCTGACAAGGCTCTAACCTGCCTAGTGGCTGTGATGGGTGCCCAAGCTGAGATGCTTTGTAGCCATACGGCTTGCAGACTATGGTCTGTCAGAACTTTCTGCAAACAACATTATGGTCGAGTGCATAAAGTGGCTGAGAGCGCCCAGTAACGATGGGAATGGCTAGGAGAAACCACAGCTCAGCAGTGCGGGGCAGCTCAGGAACTTTGTTCCACACTGGTTTCCTACGTACCTGAACATTGCATCCTTCATCAAAGACGAATTTATTTTGACCTTAAAATGACAGTCTATTGGATGGTGAAATCTGTACCACAGAGGTGATCCGTCCATGTCTTAACCTGAGCTAGAGTATGAAGTGCAGAGCTGGGAAGTGAAAACGAAGCGGCCAGTTATCCTAACTGTTGTTTCCATCAAAGTACAAATTGGTTCCTTTCAAATCTCATTTAATTCCTACTATAAACCCTATTTTCCGGGGTTTGTTGGGGTTTTTTAGATAATTCTCAAGTGTTTGTAAGGTTTAAAGTGCTGGTTTGGGACCATCTGGGGAAAAAAAACTATTGCAAAATCAGTTGAATAGGCAACAAGCGTTGTTGGCCGCTGCTGAGGTTCTTCATATGAGTGGCAGTTTTCCACCTCTGTGCGAGTTACTCAGAAACCATTGGTAGTGTCTGACCAGGGATCTCAGGGGTCGATTCTCAATATACTTTGGGGGTCCTGTGGAAAAGTTGGCTATTTCCCATTGCAGTTGCTACGGTGAGCATTTGTTCAGCATTTCTTTCCACCTCTAGTAGAAGGCAGGGGACAACATGGAGGAATGGATCCGCACCACACTTGAACTGCAAAGAGAAGAGACGCTTCCAAGGTACCTTTTTAATTCAGTATCTTTTGTCACTGTTGAGTCCATAGGAAAGGTAACTTGCTTTATGATTCTTTATAATTTTGAGTAGCATTGAGTAGTGCTGAAAATGACAGTGCTGTAAGTTCCCATGTAGTACTGGTGGAATTAAGAGAGGGCGATGCTAACTGGTACAGCTGCTCTGAAGCAGAAGCTACCAGATGGCTTTGAATTGCAGAATAAGCATCAGGCACTACATCCTGAGGGTGTAAAACGTGAAATTCACTTAAGTGCAAGAACTGCTTAAGAAAGCCAGAAATGGCTTGGTGTAAATCCCCCCAAAAAGTACTGAACTCTCAGTGTCCCCAACTGTTTTGTGAATACCACTGTATCGGCAGAGCAGCTGTTGGGACTTGGGAAATGAACACAAATAGCAGCATTATTTGCCTCCACTCACTTCCAAAAACCTCTTTGGAAATTCCGCTGTGCTCGGATGGGCGGCCATGAGCCTGCGGCACGAGGGCCACCACGGCCATTTGTGCTCCTGCGCTCTCCACGCTGAGGTAATTTCAGAGCTGAAACACCCTGGAGTCTCAACCAGACTCCTCGTGAAAGGCTGAAGAAAAGTTTTGATACTTTAGGTAAAGTCTAAACGTGACATCCACAGTGCCAGGCAGCGCCGTTTCACAGCGGCTGTTAAACCAAGCCCTGGCAGGGCTGCGGCCGCAGAGCCCCGCGCCAGATCCTGTCAGCGTTCCCAGGTGAGGATGGAAGACTCGCAGCGGAACCCGGGGCGGCTCACCGGCCGCTGGGCTCTCGGGGC